ACGGAGGGAGGGCAGAGGAAGGCACTGGACCGAGACTCTCGGCACATTTGGGAGGACAGAAGAGACGGGGGGAGGAACAGAGACTTGGTGGGAGAATAGGAAAGCGTAGAAACAGAGGGAGAGGGGGATGCGTCCAGCTGTTTGTCCATCCTTGTTCTGCTGTAATGAGCCCATGTTTGGCTCCACGGCACATCGCCGATGCCTCATCTAACTTCTCCAAACTCTAACAAGCCAAACTGCTATTTAGATTTACCTCCTACCGGCGCTGAACCGAGCCCAAACAACTAAGCACATAACAGCGTGGCGCTTCCTTAAATGGACACTCTGACATTCTGAATTTCAGCTGTTTATTTGACTTTAAACAGACACTTGTCAGCATGTGGGGAACATTTCTGCTTTTAAGTTTTCATAGAATGGCTCGGCAGCATTGTTAGTGTCGCTGAGCAGATCTTCCACTTGTAGCCTGCTGCGCCCTTTGGCTAAAATGAGGGGATGTCTCTGGATTATCTGGAGATTTACCTGGTGGAAACACAAAGACACACACACACACATATTGTTAGTGCAGCTCAGAAACAACCGAGCGCTAACTTTACCCAGAAAACCAATAGTCCCTTCCTCCAGGGGTCGAGTTCTGTCATCTCTGGGGCTCACAGCTGAATTTGTAGCTTTACATGAGCTAAAGAAAATGAGGTTTTGGAGGCACCATGGCCTTGTTCAGTTAATGTTAAAAGGGTTGAATCTTGTAAAGGACTATCAGAAGCACCGTACTGCGTACAGCCGCTCCATGCTCATGTCCTTATGGATCTTCCTCCGCCGTGGACCGGTGCTGGACGTCGGTCTCGGAGAGAAGCAACGCAGAAATAATGGCCTCCCTTCTGGTTCTGGTTTGAGCTTTTAGTGAGAACATGTGAAACGTGGTCCGGAGTGTGGTCAGTGTTCTGGTGGAGCTTTCACTGGAGGAGGCAGCTGATGCCAACACTACCGAACCCAACCGGAAAATCCTGAACCGAGCTGCACTGAAATGCAGACCTAATCCAGTGGGTCTGTTAATCAGGTGGTTCTGTACCTGCTGGTTCTGGTTCTACTGGGTTTTAAAAACATGCCAGATTACCACGTGAAAACACGCCAGATCAACATGTGAAATAATTAACACGTGAAACGTCACTTTAAAATGTGGAATCATGTAAAATTAGCATGTGAAATAATTTCATTTTAACATGTGAATTCATGCCAGATTAACATGTTAAAACATGTCAGATTAACATGTGAAATGATTAACACGTGAAACGTCACTTTAAAATGTGGAATCATGTAAAATTAGCATGTGAAATAATTTCATTTTAACATGTGAATTCATGTCAGATTAACATGTGAAGTCACGTCTTGTGAACATGAGAAATAATTAATGTGAAAACATGGTACCTTAAAATGTGACAAGTCAGATTAAGTCAAGTCAGATTAAATTGTGAAAACATGTCCCATCAACATAAAACAATTAATGTGTGAAAACATTTAAAAACATGATAGGTATAAATGTAAAGTCATGTCAGATTAACATTCAAAAACATAACAGAATAGTATGCAAAATTATATCAGATTAACATAAGAAAACATTTCAGATTAATATGTGAAATAATTAACATGCAAAAACATAATAGATTAAAATGAGACATTTTATCAGATTAACACGTAAAAATATTTGATTAACATGTGCAGTCATGTCAGATTAAACTGTGAAAATGTTAGATCAATGTGAAATGATAAGCATAAAAACATGATAGAATAACTTGTCAGATTAACATGCAAAAACATGTTAGATTAACGTGAAATATATCAAATCAATATGTGAATTTATGTCAGATTAACATAAGAATTCTCTCCATCCATCCATTATCTTTACCCGTTTATTCCATTTTGGGTCACGGGGGTCGCTGGTGCCCATGTCCAGCAATCACTGTGCGAGGGGCGGGGTACACCCTGGACAGGTCGCAAGTCCATCACAGGGCCACATAGAGACAAACAACCATTCACTCTCTCACTCACACCTAGGGACAATTTAGAGTTACCAATCAGCCTAACATGCATGTTTTTGGTCTGTGGGAGGAGACCGGAGCACCCGGAGAAAACCCACTCATGCACGGAGAGAACATGCAAACTACACCCAGAAAGGCCCCTGGACTGGGATTTGAACCAGGGACCTGCTCGCTGAGAGGCAGCAGCTCTACCAGTTGCGTCACCGTGCTGCCCCTCATGTGAAAACACGATAGATTAAAATGTGAAATCTTGTCAGATTACCGTGTTAAAACATGTCAGATTATTATGTGAAATCATGTTTACTTCTTCAATCATTCAATCTTTAATTTTTACATCAGACAGGTTATAGGGTTTCATATGGAACAGCAAAATGCTCAAAATTAAATAAATAAAGCATTATGAAATAAGAAACTTTGACTTATTGAGCATTTTGCTGTTCCATAGTTTCACAGAAAAAGAAATTCACTATGAAATAAACTTCTTTAAAAAAAACAAAAACTAAAACCATTCATGTAAAAAAATGACAAAAATTGTCGCATTTTAAGAATGAATAACAAAACACATGTAATCCTAATCTAGGCTCAACTCACCTTAAACAGTTAAACATAATCTTGCTGATTTTGAAAATTATTGTGTGCGTCTTGAAAAGGTTCTCAAATCCTTCAGACGTGTCCACATTTTGTCCCGTTCCAACCTCAGACCTCTCAGGACTCCTCTGGGATGTGACGGAGCGACACAAAGCAGGAAGTAGTTACTTCTATAAAATATATATATTTCTATAAAACTCTAAATTCATGTGTTCAGCCCCCGAGTTCAGACTTTGTAGACCCACCTTCAGCTGCAGGTCTTTAGAGGTCGGTCTCTTCCAGTTGTGGACATCTAGAGACGAACATTTTGTCCCAGTCTTCTGTGTAAACCAGCTGCAGCTCAATCAGACCAGATGGAGAGCATCTGAGATCAGCAGTTTCCAAGTCTTTCTTCAGATTCTCAGTTGGACTCCGGTTCTGGACTTTGACTGGACCGTTCTAACATCTGACCCATCCCGGGCCGTTGTTCTGCTGGAAAGTACACCACCGGCCCAGTCACAGGTTTTCTTCCAGGACTGTCCTGAATTTAGCTCCATCCAGGTGAGGACCAGCCTCCCACAGCATGAAGCTGCCACCACCGTGCTCCACAGTGATGATGGTGTGTTCAGGGTGGTGACTTCTCTGTAAAGGTCACATTTTTCTGAGCTCTGGGTTATTGAGGATTATTGAGCATGCATCAGGATATCTGGGTCTTAGTTTTTGTAAAATGTCATGTAATGAAACCAAAACACAACTTTAATACCGAGTTATTCTGAATCTGACATTTAACCTTCGTTTTTAGAGCAGCAGTATGTTATTGAATTTACACGCTGCAATTGAATGCATCACACATCTTCACAAAAATAAATGAATGCGTGCAGGTCCTTCCTGGAGCGCCACTCTTTTGGCCCCACCCACTCAGCATCATCATCCTGATTGGTTAATGATCCTATCAGTTATTAAATCTCCTCCTCCTGCAGAGGCTCTGACTGAGCTCAGCCTTCTCTGCTGACAGTGAAGTCCTGACCAATGAGAGCTCCTTCAAAGAAGTTTCCGCCTGGAGATAAATTTTTTTTTAAAAAACCTGATTGGATGACTGTGTGACTTGAAACTGTTTCTTATTGACTCACCTGGTTAATGATCTGTACCCCCGCACTGAATCAGGATCCAGAAATACAAAATAACCCAGAACCTCCATGCCGTCGGGCAGACTACAGCTAAATCTTAGTGACACCCCCCAAGAAAAAAAACATCAAACAAAAACAGAATCACTGTAAATGCTGCAGATTCAGGTGTCGTGCACAGACATTAACATCTGTTATATAGCTGACGTACATTATGTGTGCTGAACTCTTAGGCCTTCTCTGAAGGCATAGCAGGCTCTGAGGGTTCCCCACTGCTTTAAACTTCCCAACAGCTTTATTCCTGACAAACCTGGTGTGCTCCTTAGTCTTCATGATGCTGTTTGATGACTAATGTTCTGTAACAATTAGAACATCTGGATATATTCTGAGACTAAATGACACCTCTGGAGGATCTTCTTGTCAGAGTAAAGGGGGTGAATACTAATGCATGTGACACTTTTCAGATTTCTGTCTGTAAAAATGTTGAAAGCCTGGAATCGTTGTCGGCCTCCTGGTCCGTTTCTGCAGCTGGACTCTACAGCGCTGGGAAGGTTCAGGTTTCTCCCTGAAAGGGCAGTTTGCAGAACAATCCAACAGATGGAGGACTTCCTGTTCAGTGAACTCAGACTGACGGTGGATTCTGACGGAACAGGAAGAGAACACTTAAAGCTGCAGAGACAGGAACTCCAATGTGATCCAAACCTCCCTGAACAGATCCGCGGTTCTGAAAGGTCGGAGAGGAACCCGAGTCATGATCCCGTCTCAGCAGCAGATTCAACACATTTCAGACAGAAGGCATCACACAGGTGAGCTTTATTCTTGTCTTTATTTGTTTTCTGTTTTGAACTGGATTATTGCGTTCAGCTGAAGTCACATTTAAAAAGCAGCCGTCGACCCGACGCACTCAAACCGATGAGATTTATTTGTACAATAAGCGATGCGGGCCTTGGGACTGCAGAACCAAGAAAAAAAAGGTCCGGGTGTTTTCTGCACTTTATTCTCGTGTGTTTCCGTCGTCAATACAAAAAGGAAAAGTAGATTTATACCAATCATATAAAGGGGAGTTTGGAGGAAAGCATTTAGGATTCTTACAACTGGCAAACACAACACAGCACAAGTACCGACTGACCGCAAGGAACCAGAACCAGAACCAGAACAGAAAGAACTCAAGTCCATAAGGGGACATGGAACAAAGACTAAACCAAGAGGTGGCACCTATGGATACAAGTAGAAAGAAAGTCTTCAAACAATCTTGTTTCTTGCTTTTCTTCTTCTCTGTTAGAAAAATGAATGCATGGCATGTGGGGGGGCGAGGGGGGGGGACAATAAAAATACTGCACTACAACAATCCTGGCCCTTCATCTAGCTCCCACACTTTTCTTTATTTAATAGCAGATCCCATTAATATTCCTTCCCCCGCTGCTCCTAATGGCCGCGCCCAGCGGCGCCGTCGTTACACTTCTACATGTGAGGAGCAAATGACACTTTGATTGGCTGTGATGTGGAGATGGGGGTCCCCCGCCGGCTCCGGGTCGGGGGCGCGGCTGAGCTGAGAGATCCTGCCGGGCCTCGGTCTCACTGCGCGTGCTGACTCAGTGTGTGGTTCTGCAGGGAGAGAGAAAGGAGGGAGGGGAGGCAGGCAGAACAAGTGAGAACACATGATGGGAGAAATAATGGGCTGCCCCCCACCCCACCTACGCACACACACACACATGCACACACACATGCACACACCTCCCACAGAACCCACTCTTTCAGCTTTAGACAGTTTCTGATGAAAGAGAAAAAACAGAAACAAGTGGATAATAAACCTGCAGACAGAACAATCTGATGTGTTTCTGCACACACACACACGCACACACACACACACATGCACATGCACACGCACACACGCACACCTGAAACCACCTCTGTTTATTTTTTAAGTCTTCAGCTAAACCTTTAGCTCATTAATTTAATTTAATAAGCCAATGAAATCACGTTTAATTGAATAAATTCTGTGTTGTTGAGATTTCTGTTTAAAGTGAAACATTCTGGTTTTTCATTATATATAGTGAACTTTTAGAGAAGGGGAGGTAACTGGACTAACAAGGTCTGCTTCACGTGTCGGGGAACCTGAACTTCCTGATGAGAAATGGGCTTATGCACCAAGAACTCTGAACGGTTCTGCTGACCAGGGAATTATTCCTCTGAGTGGAATCATTCATCTAAACCATTCCTTTGAACTGGGAATCATTTTTCTGAATCATTCATCTGAACAGGGAACCATTTCTCTGAGTGGAATCATTCCTCTGAATCATTCCTTTGAACTGGGAATCATTTTTCTGAAGGGAATCATTCCTCTAAACAGGAAACCATTTATCTGAGATGGGAATCATTCCTCTGAATCATTCCTTTGAACTGGGAATCATTTTTCTGAAGGGAATCATTCCTCTGAATCATTCCTTTGAACTGGGAATCATTTTTCTGAAGGGAATCATTCCTCTAAACAGGAAACAATTTATCTGAGATAGGAATCATTCCTCTGAATCATTCTTTTGAACTGGGAATCATTTCTCTGAGAGGGGAATCACTTCCCAGACAGACATCTCTCCATGTCTTTGCCTTTTTTTGTTGTTGTCACAATACAATTTTAAAACAAATTCTCTCAGTGCTTCTTCACAAACACATTATTCCCAACAAGAGCTTCCCAATCAGCCCCCCACCCTCTAAAAGCAGCTTTCTCAGATTAATCGCTGTCTCTTGCAGATATGCCTCTCTACGGCAAGAAAAAAGGGCCAAACTAAAGCAGAGAGGATGGGAGACAGGGGCAGAGGAGAGGACAGGGGGATGAACAGAGGATGGGTGGACGGGGACATGGATGGGGCGGATTATTCGTGGTTTGGGGTTGATAAAGACTTCTTTGTCATTCTGCGGTGCTTATCTTGCTGCCCATGTTTTGTTGAAGCCCGCTGGTGTTTGTGGCGAGGCTTCAGAGGCCGAGCGCGCCGGTCCAGAGGAGAAGACACATGCAGGCTTTCACACAAACACCAGAGCAAATGAAGGAAATTAACGGATGCTCCGGTTCTCTGGGTGTTAAAGTGAAGGGACAACTCACTGGGGGGTCACTGACCCCATTATGATCCAAACCCTTCTCCTCCTCCTCACGTCTTTCCATCTTCCTCCATGTCTTCAGCTTCCAGAGGTCCCTCTAACTGCCACAAGACGTCAGACTCTTTCCTCTACATCTGATCATGAAGAGAGGTGGCGTGTGTTGTAGTAGGTGTTGTTGTTGTTCTCATTGTTCTTGTAGGTATTGTTGTTGTTGTCATTGTTGTTTTTTTAATTCAACCTTTATTTAGACAGGTAATCCCATTGAGCCTCGAGGACTCAAGTTACAAGAGAGACCTGATTTCAACAAAGAAAGATGACAACAACGGACAACAGCAACAACAATAAACAATTATAAAAAGTCATACTGCAGTTTTTTTTTTCTTTTTTTTTTTTTTTTTTACAAATAGGATGGCTAAAAGAAAAAGGTAACAAAAAAACAGCTAGATTCTAAGGCGAATGTAGAAAACTAAAAACAGGAACATGTCTGCGTTGGTCCCTGCCAGGAGTCCAACAGATTCTTAAAGATACTTAGAGAGGTCAAGGTCGAGAGCTTCAAATCTTTTTGTAAGATATTCCAGGAAACAGGAGCGGAGTAGGAGAAGGCCTAGTTCAGTCCTCATTGAGGGAACACTGCAGGTAATGATGTCCTGAGAGCGCACTCCGTAGCTGCACCCACGCAGAGACATGTAGGAGGAGATGTATGAAGGCAGCAGACCAAGAAGTGATTTAAAGATGAAAATGTACCAGTGAGAGAGTCTGCGTGACGTTAATGATGTCCAGTTAACCAGTGAATACAGGGTGCAGTGGTGGGTACGATAATCACAGCCAGTTATGAATCTTAGTGCACCATGATAGACAGCATCCAACATCTGCAGGGTTCTTGTAGGAGCATTCATGTAAATAATATCACCGTAATCAATGGAGGGAAGGAAAGTCACAGATACAAGGTGTTTTCTAGCATTCAGGGTTAGACAGGATCTGCTTCTGAAAAAGAAACCCAGTTTAACTTTCAGTTTCTTTACCAAGTTTTCCACATGGAGCTTAAAAGAGAGATGTGAGTCGACCAAGATACCCCAATATTTATAGGAATCAACAAACTCAATGGGGACACCATTTGAGGATAAAATCGGAGGAAGAACTGCTGGGACCGACTTCCTGTTTGAAAAAAGCATCCCTTTGGTTTTGTCGGCATTTAGGACAAGTTTGAGGCGGAACAAATCTGTCTGGATGTAGTTGAATGCAGATTTCAAAAGCTGGAAAGCCTTAGCAACAGTTTTAGCTCGACAATAAACAACTGTGTCATCAGCATAGAAATGTATGGATGCATTAGGGATGTTTTTACCTACATTATGTATGTAGATTGTAAAGAGGGTGGGTCCTAAGACTGAGCCTTGTGGTACACCATTGTTGACTGTTTAATAACTGGAGGAAGTACCATTATGTTGAACACATTGCATCCGGTCTGAAAGATAGTTAGAGAACCAACCAATGGTGTGTTCTGAGAAACCAATTTCTGAGAGTTTATGACACAAGATGTTATGATCCACAGTCTCAAAAGCTTTAGACAGGTCTTAGTAGGTTTTAGTAGGTGTTGTTGTTGTTCTCATTGTTCTCGTACATGGTGTTGTTGTTGTCATTGTTGTTGCAGTAGGTGTTGTTCTCTTTGTTCTTGTAGGTGCTGATGTTGTTGTCATTGTTTTTGTAGGTATTGTTGTTGGTATTGTTGTTGTCATTGTTTTTGTAGGTATTGTTGTATCAGGTGTTGTTGTTATTGTTGTTGTGTTGTTATAGCAGGTGTTGTTGTTGGCGTTATTGTTGTTGGTGGTGTCATTGTTGTTGTTTTTGTTCATGTTGCTGCTGGTGGTGTTATTGTTGTTGGTGCAATTTTTCTTATAGTTTGGGTTGTTGGTGTTGTTTATGTTGTTGTCATTGTTGTTGTAGGTGTTATAGTTGTTTTAGTAGGTGTTGTTGTTGGTATTGTTGTAGCAGGTGTTGTTGTTGTTGGTGTTATTGTTGTTGATGCTGTTGGTATTATTACTATTATTATTGTTGTCTTTGCTGTTGTCATTGTTGTTGATGGTGTTGTTGTTATTATTGTTGTTCTAGCAATTTTTGTTGTTGTAGCAGGTGTGATGTTGTTGGTGTTATTGTTGTTGATGGTGTTGTTGTTGGTGGTGTCATAGTTGTTTTTGTTAATGTTGTTGCTGGTAGTGTTATTGTTGTTGGTGTAATGGTTCTTGTTGTTTTGGATGTAGGTGTTGTTGTTGTAGGTGTTATTGTTGGTGCTGTTGTTGCTTTAAAAATGTTGGCAGTGAATCTTCAATCATTTCTATTTTTATTTAACTCATAAAAGATTGCTCTTTGTTCCTGTGGAAACACCTCAGCTACTTGAGTTAAAATAATTTTACTGTGTTGTCACTTTGACCTGTTTTCTTTCCATCTATCAAACGGTACTTTGAAACGACAAAAACAAACAAACAAATAAACCCTAACTCTGAATAACAAAATCTAATAATTTTGTTTTCGCAACATTATTCTTGTTCACTTTTTGGATTTGCCATGAATAAAGTTTTAAACATTTTCCAAAAACTCCAAATTCCTCAGTGATCAAGATCAGAAATAAAAAGGAAGACAATTATTTTATGCTAAACTTTTAAAACACATTTACTAAAGGAATGAAAGCATGAAGCTTGTTTTCTTCAACCAGACGTGTGTGTGTGTGTGTGTGTGTGTGTGTGTCTGTGTGTATTTGGTGACTGTCATTGTTTTTCCTAAACTGCTTATAGAGCGAAGCTAAAGCCTGCAGAGCCTCAGACTCCTGGGAAATATGGCCCTGTCGCATTCCTCACAGCAAAACACACACATGCACACACAGACGCACACACACACACACAGACACGCACACACGCACGGTCTTGTGGTGAAAGGGCGGAGGGTGAAAGAAGAAAGCAAAACATAAAAATAAGAGAAAATCTAATTTGGTTTGTCCTGCTTCTCTCTGCCGGCTGTTATCACTGTCACCTTTAATGTGCACAAGGGTCTGCGTGCGTGTGTGTGTGCACGCACTGTGTGCTGAGGCTCCTCGACAGGTATTTTGTTGCATGAGGGCACGGCCCGTGCACGATCAGCTGCTGTGTGATGATGTAACTAAACCTTCAAATCACAGGAGCCAAGTCTCTTTACGAAGCAGGAGTGAGCCACGCTGCTGGACTCACGGTGTGTGTGTGTGTGAGTGTGTGTGTGTGCGTGTGTGTGAGTGTGTGTAGGGAGTGAGTCAGAGTTGGACCGGTTCCAGCAGCACTGTTCTGTTTGTGTGTTTGTGGCTTTGGGACCAGCAGATGGAGGGTCTCAGTTCTCTTTCTCTGCTTCCTGGCTTGCCTTTAGCCCCACCCGTCCAGGACAGGATGCTGCCTCAGGAGCGTATCAAAAATAAACGCACCCCTGCCCTCGACTTCCCTCGGGGATGGAGTCCCTGCTCCCCTCAGAGTCTCATATTTGTCTCTTTCTATTGTAAAAGAACAAAACAATGAACTGTCTTTACAAAACTTCCTTTATACTGGTCTCCCTGCCCGTCACTGAGCGACCCTCTCAGGCCACATCCTGTCCCTCCCACAGGAAGTTCCCCTCTCCTGCTGCTCCTGGACGACCCAGCCAGGTTCAGACTGGTAAACACAACCCAAAATACACTCCCAGCATGAAGAGAGCAAGCAAACAAAACCCTTCAGAACCTCCAGCAGCTCTGCTTCCTACTTAATGATGTCACAAAAACAAGGAAGTGACCACACCTCGGAGCAAATACATCCTTCACCACGTTCAGCACAACACCGCTGGCCCACTTGGACAGGAGAAAGATTCTGACGTAAGTTTCAGAGCAGACATGATGACAGAGTGATGAAAACATCAAAACAAAATAAAATAAAACTACAAGAACCGGTCCAGAACCACAGAGCTCTGGCAGAGGCTACAGATTAACACATGAATAAGATCTCATGTTTACAATGCAGCAGAGTATGTCATCCATCCATCCATCCATCCATCCGTTCATCCATCCATCCATCCGTTCATCTGTCATCCATCTGTCATCTATCCATCACCCATCCATCCATCCATCCATCATCCACCTGCCATCTGTCACACATCCATCCATCTATC